GCTAAAACGGGATCAAATGCAGAGAAAGCTTGATGGGATTTAAGTGGGATGCATCATTAAAGGCTCATTGTATCAGTGGAGCTGATAGGTAAGAAAGACATTAAAAACGTTGTATTAGAAAACATCATAATATGTGAGAGAATTAAATGTTATTACGGTTACTGATTTAGGTGAAAAAGTAGCTTATTGCAAAGCCTTATAAAGCACAAGTACAGTTTCTTCTAAGCAACACCATCACAACTCATTGTAAAAGGCAAGTAAAATAACTGCATTAATGCAACTTACATGTTTTACTTAATGAATAACATAAAGTAGAAAACTCCCAACATCCGTTTAATACATAATATCCTGTTTTCAAGCAGTGAGTGTCCCATTTCTTTCACTTGCCGATAATGTTGTTCTTTTTAGACCCATTATACTATAGGGTCTCAAGCACAATGGAAAGATGGTAAATTCCCTCCTTGTTAGTTTACTCACTTCTCCAAAGCCTGGTACATGTTCTGGGGATCTTCCAGCACCATCGTGTCCACCATCTTGTCTTCAAATGCGGCCTCATCTTTTATGGTCTCACTCATGTTGCAGTGTGCATACTCTGGGACAGAATCACGCCTGTTTCTCTAAAGTAAGATGATATATGCAATATATTAACAAATGACTGACGTAATTCATAGAACTTTAAAAAATGAGCAACATATACTGAAGTTAATTTGAAAAAACAGTTAACTATAATTAGACATTATGTTGAAAAAGTTGGTCAATGAAACAAAATTGTCAACAAAATAAATCCTTTTAATAGACACATCACAACACCTTTTTGAAATGTACAAACACAACAATATAGCATACGTAATTAACAAGGTACGTAGGTTTGATTAGCATTTATTAGGATTAGAAATAACATTTGTGATACCCTTTGCCGGAGAAGGTTCAGCCTGGATCTGAGACCGATCAGGTTCATGACCAGAAACCCTAGCGACAGCAGCACCAGCGTGACAAAGAACCCAACAACAAATCCAGCAAAATGGACCCCATGGTTAAGATAAATCTGAAATTGAAAGCAAAAACAGACTTTTCATCAAATCCATTTAGTAAACACAAATCAGAAAGCAGGAACAAAACATGCAATGCTTGAAGCTGCAGTCAAGTGTGTTTCCAGTTAAGGAGCTTACCCTGTCGGTGGAATTCACTCTCAACGTTAGATTAGCTCTTATTGGACCAAACATACTGACATCATTCTGTAGATTGAAGAAAACAATACTCTGGTTTAGAAGAGAGAAAATGTAAAGGAGTGATAGGCAGTTGCTGACATGGTGAAATTAAAACAGTTGGGGGATTGCTTTTTGTGTTGGAAAGAGCAGAAACAAGTAGAAGATAAAAAATACCTGTGAGACGTTGGAGAAGGTGAGAAAAGCTGGAAGGTCCAGGACTTCAGTCTTATGACTCCTTATGTGAGCGGTATAGTTGACAACAACTTTGGATCCAGCTAAAGTTCAAATCAATCTTATGTTATGTATTGTGGAAGCAGAACATTCAAATATTTTACATTTTTAAAAAGGTCAAATCAATACAATCATCTTTCAAAAGAAATTGACTCCAAGACATACCAGACAGTGAATCAATGGAAAACTCCTGGTAGCCTCTTTCCACCACCCTGCCTTCAGATTTTAGGGGCACTATTCCAAAGATGGAGTCCCGAATAGTCACCTGAGACAGGTCGGTGCCATCCTTGTTGTCAACCAGCAGGAAGAAAGTCAGCTGAGGAGGGTCAGCGTCCAGCTTCACCTGGGGGACACATGATCAAGCAGGGAGAGTGACTGAACAGTCTTCTATTCTTCTAGTCTTCTATGTTTATGTGCAGTTTAAAATTGGTCCAGTAGGATAGTTGGGAATTAAATGCTGATAGTATAAAGGGCTGGATTAAACAATTGTGTGACGTACCTGTGCACACTTGTGAAACTTGACCTCATATGAGGATGGAGGTGCCACACTCTGAATCTGCGGAAACATTCAACACAAGGTATGATTAGTTTCTCTCAACATAATAATTTTTCTTCGTGTCATGTAAAGTAAAGTTACAAAATATGTGAATGATCTAATATTAAGCAATGATGTCAGTTTGTCTGGTATGTGTATGCATTTAATAAATTCTTATTTTTAAACAGTCAGAACCCAATATGAGAAAAAGCAAAAACAAAGGGAAGAAATGACTGATGGACAACTGACTTGTTCAATGACAAAACAATACACATTACAGGTTTGACATCAAACTGAAATACATGAAAAGGTGCCCTGCATACTAAATATGTGAAAATGCAATTTCAATAACTGTGTACAATGACTGAAGGGATGCAAGCACCTTATAGAAACACACCTGAGGCAGAGTGAGGCCCAAGTTATATCTGGTGAGTGTGCTTCTGCGGTTCCTGAGGGGCAAAATCTTTGACAGGTAGGAGAGTGGCGTGTAAAGAGGCCGTCCCCATAGACCAGAGGACGCTGAAGAAGAGAGCGGCCCCTCTGCAGAAGGCACCAAGCGTCCATTGATTTCCATTGCATCTGTCAAATATTGGGGGTTTGAACATCCAGTTACAAAGGCTAACATTTAAAATAAATCAGTAAAAGCAGCTACGTAGATACAGTAAATTCATACATAGTAAACAAAGGTTTTTTTTATCTAATAGATAACTACATTTTCAACCTAAGCGTAGCTATTATGGACCTAACTCTATTTTTTATTTAGCCTTTAGTTATACAGGTAAAATCTCAATGAGACACAGGGTCAAATTCTCAAGAGAGACCTGATCAGTGGTAACAATACCACACAAAGTTACAGACAGACAGGACTCTAAACACTAGGGATGCACTGAATATTCGGCCGCCGAAAATTATCGGCAGAAAATGGTTAAAAAGGCCCTTTCGGCGTGTTGTTGTGATGACGTAATCAAAACGCGGCGACAAGCACGGCGCGCGACCATGCTCGCGGCTGGCTCACAGCCAACATGTCTGGCGCTTGGAGATATCTAAAAATATCAGAGAAAGAGGCGCGGATTACGATTTGTAAAACGTGTTCAGCTGACATTTCTCGAGGGGGTGTAACTGCAAAGACTTTCACCACTTCGGGATTACTCCACCACTTGAAATCAAAACACCCGGACAAATATGCGGAGTAAGATCAAATCACAAGCACTGATAGCGAGAGACTGTTCAGCGCTGCCTCTCATGTGCTTGATGAGAAGAGGAGCAGACTTATGGCGGATAAAGCAGAGAAGCTAATGTTCATTAAAAAGAACCTCCCACTTTTCCTTAATAAGTAGACAAGGCTGGCTTATCATAAGCTTATCTAGTTCTACATGTCTACTCTATACTCACTTTCCTGAACAATTTTCATTGTGAGTTATAATTCACCATCTCAGGTTATCATTAGGGGGAAATGACAGCAGCACAGTGTTCAATATATTGTACTTTCGGTATCTAAATGATACAATGTTGTTTACATTGCTCATGAGGACAGACCACCTTATTTGCAGATTCTTGAAATTGTAATTTAATTTGTAATTGATTGTGGATTTTGTATCCAGTTTTCACTTTATGTATCTTTATACAATGTTTACTACTTTGCTTATGAGGACAGACAGCCTTATTTACGGATTCTTGAAATTGAATTGTAATTTCATTTGTAAATAGTTACATTCATGTGGATTTATCCAGTTTGCACATTTGTATGCATGCACTTATAGGTGCATTTGTTGTTGTTGAAGGCCTGGCTGTTACAGTCTTTATTTACAATAAGTGCATGCATACAAATGTGCAAACTGGATAAATCCACATGAATGTANGTAGATATTACTTTTCTCCGTTAATCTCCGTCACGTTGTTTCCAATGCAACACAACTTTCTGTCAACTACACTAACTCTCCAAAATAAAAGCATGTCCATAAATAGGAAGCCAAGCCAAATTACACTAACCTGTTAAGCCCCGAGCCTGTTTTTCAGGTCTCAGGCTCGAAAATGACATTCCCAGAACAAATGACCATATCTTCCCTTCTAAAAGGGTTACATTTATAAATCGTAAATTCAGATTGAACACAGTAAAGAAATGTAAATTATTGTGTCCGTCCAAAAAAAAAAAAATTACTTAGTGAAAACCACCCTTGAATGATGGGATGGTAGACTAAAAGCTTTAGGAATCCAAACTACAACATATAATAAGTACCCTGTATCAAGATTGATGCAAAACAAGTGAAATTTGACCTTTTTAGAGAGTTTTATCAAAAGAAACCCTTCTGGGGTCATTTGGGTGGATTTTCCATATCTCTGGCCCCCCTTGGTCGATTTTGATGATTGGCATCTCTTTCTAACCGTCAGAGCCAATGGAATCGAGGGGAACTCCCACATACTCCTTATTTGGTAATGTGTGAATATCCGGAGCCCGAAAAATGGTATTCGGGACAGCCCTAGTGGATAGATCTGCAAACGGAACGCTCTGGGGGGGCAAACGGCTCCGTGTGTACGCCCTATACGATAATCTCCTGATAACGATGAAGCCATAGCCCCACCTCTCCCCACCTCTGCTGCTCACTGCTGTAGCATGGTCAGTACCTACTGTCAGTAGCTACTGCTACTGACCATGCTACAGATGTTAGTGCAAAATGTATAGCTCGACCATGCTACAGATGTTAGCGCAAAATCTACAGCTCCTCTACCACAACCATCAGCAACAAGTGGACATGGAGAACTACATGAAATACATGTTGCTAAATCCACCGCGGGGCATAAACAGAAGGGCAACCATGGCAACCATGCTCGGGGGTCTTCTTCGCTGCTTTTGGTGTATTTTGTGGCGAAAGTTCAGCGCCACTTACAGGACGGCATATGTACTACAGCGTCTCCAGCGCTCCCGAGCGGTCTCGTGTGAACGGAATACTTTTTTGATATCGTATTCGGTTCGTTTTCATTTCGTATGCGTCCCATCCCAGTTAAGTATTTCTAAAATGTAGAGAAAATTACTTCTGCAGATGGATCATCAGGCAGGCCAGAGTGTCTCGGTTGGGCTGTGGCAGCTCACTGATGGCCTGGAACAGCATGGCGAGACTGTTGCCATCATCCTGGATTTCTTCAAAATCAATAACACCAGTCATTTAGTATCAATATTGAAACATTTACTTAAAAAGGCATACAATTATGTAGAAATTCAGACCAATCAAGAGCACTGGCATACAGCAGTCTTCTTTCTACAAGCCTCTGAAACTCACCGGCTGCTTCCATGAAGACTTTGTTGAGGTGGAAGGTGAGCAGTGGCTCTGGGAGGTTCCTAAGGAAGTCTTTGAGGACACCTGTGATGACATTAATGTCTTCCACTTTGTGAAGCGGAGGCAGAGTCTTTCCTCTAATCAGCTTCTCCTTCAGCTCTTTCACATGGCGCTCTTGGCCGGAGATTCTGTAGAGGCCAACCTGGGGCAAAGGAAGAGATAAAAGAAACAAGCTCTCATTATCCGGCTTTCTGTGATACCGTACTGCTGAATGAGATTACTAATTAAGAGAGGAATTGTAATCGCGCGAGGGGAAAAGGATCAGAGCATAACACAGAGGTGACAAGTAAACAAGGACTGTAATATTGTCTGTCTCACCTCGTGTAGGCCTCTGTGTTCTATCTCCTTAATGCAGTAGATAACCAACGCTGGGATCTTCGGGGAGCAGGCTGGAGCAAAGTCAGCCAGGGTGCTCTGCACACAGAGTACATACGATGTATCTAAATATAATACATTAGAAAATAGGAAAAAAATAGGGTAACATGCGTTTAATGTACCTCTGTGTTCTTGATCTGAGTGCTGACCGCTGTGGGGCTACAGGGCAGGGGGCAACTGTCACGACACTCTGGGTGGGTCACAAGCCGACAATCCTGGCAGCGCAGGTACATCTTCCCAAACTTTGTTTTTCTCCCACATGGTACGCACACCTCAGACTTGATCACCTTAGTGAGGGAAAAGTGACAAAGATGAGTATATACGTCAAGTAGTGATACTTAAACAAGGTAAAGAAGCTTGTACTGTTCATTTGTGTTTATTTCGTTGACTAAAACTATGACGAAATATGTTCGTCAACAACCTTTTTTTCAATGACTAAGTCGAGATGATGACGAGACCAACGTCAGTAAACAATAACTGTAACGATATCAACATGCAATATCGCTGACGAGACGAAAATGCAGCCTACTGAAAAATGACGAGACGAAAATGTAGTTTACTAAATAAAACTTTGCCAAAATCTCTCTTGACTTTCGGTGACGGAAAAGGAGGAGTGTTACGACCCCCTCCACTCCACTAGAGGTCTCTGTCTTTGTGTTCTGCTGGCTGGCTCTTGTTTGTGTTTCAGGTGATCAACCTGATGAGCCACACCTGGGCCGTCTACAAAAAAGGCAAACACCAACCCATACTCTCACTCTTCTATTGGACAAGGCCGCGTCTTTGTTTCTGCACATTTTCACACACACCCATACACACAATCATTACTGACAACTGACTTCCACGTTTAGGTTTCTTTGAAGACCTTTAGTTTTTGTGGTATTGTAAATAAATATGCTTTTTGTTACACTTTACTTGTCTGGTCTCCCATCTTTGTTGCAGCCTATGAGTCGGGCCGTAACAAAATATTATCAAAGATAACGTTACATCTCTGATAGTCAGTTTTTTCCCCCAGCAGTTCCATTTCCGGTGCTGCAGCTGGGCACCAGTTGTGTGTCTGAATTACACCGGGCCAGCGGAACACTGACCTGTCAGGAAGACTCGGATCAAACTAACCTTATTTAACAGAAAGGAAAATGGCAACAACAGGGCTTGGGAGCAGTGTTCGCGTTAACCGAATATCCCCCACGTCCCCGTCAGCCCGAGTGAGTGACGAGTTGTGTACAGACCCGTCGGGTAATAATGGATTTGGACTGTACATTTACGATCCTGTCCGTCAAAATGACAGACATCGAAAAAGTCTAATGCCACCACTGCTTGGGAGAAAGAAACGAGGCGATATTTAGGCCCATTTTCGCTACAATGAGGCGGAGAAAAAAAGCAAATGCATTGTTTTATCAGAAGGAAAGCAATGTGGCCATAACACAGGTAAAACACCACAAACCTGACCAGATACTCTCTGCAGTCTGCTAAGCTGCATTCTTAATCATTCGACCTGTGTTTTTCATCCAATTAACCAAACCAATAATTTGCTAAAACTTATTTAATAACAAGATTATATCTTATCCTTTTTTCATCAAATAAGGATAAGATATAATCTTGTTATTAAATAAGTTTGACACAAATGACAAATTATTGGTTTTGGCTACACTAGTTTGACTGAAATGTTCAATATAATCTGATGACTAAAAAACACAAAAATGTCAACAGTTTTCATTAACAAAAAGTAGACTAAAATAGTTAGTTTTCTTTGACTAAAATAAGACTAAAATGCTCAGACTTTTAGTCGACTAAAACTAGACCAAATAAAAACAGGATGAAGGTGACTAAAACTAACAAGGACATTTGACACAGGACTAAGACTAAATTGAAAAATAGCTGAGAAAATTAACACTATTGTTAATAAAGACACAAAAAGTATACAGGCTTACTGTTTTTCCGATGAACTGGTGCTTCTTTCCTCCTCTGTTGTTAGTTCTGGGGGTTCGGAGCTTGGCGGTGTAATCTGAGACTGCTGTGCTGGGAGCCTCACTGGCCGTCTCTGATTGGTCAGTAGTGGTTGTGTCTCCCCATGCTGGAGCAACTGTAGGCGACATCTCATGTTAGTAAAGTCTCCAAAAGGTGTTGTAAAGGTCCCATAAAGTCAATACAAATATCTTAAATATTCTTACCGCTCTTTCTGCTGCGTGTCCAGTACGGCACGGTTTCAATAGTAGAGACCGCTTCTACAGCACCGCCATTTACCGGCACAGTGATGGTGGTTTTGGCAATTATAGACTCATTCATCTGAATTATAAAAAAATAAACAAACAAATCAAATATGTTTAATGCTCTGTCAAACCAAACTGGTGGAAATTGGAAGAGTTTGTTTAGAATAAAAGCTATTTGTGTTAGTGTTGTATGGTGCATTCAGCTGCAGGGGTCAGCAGTACCCTTTCTGATGTGCGTCCAGAGGAGCGAGGTTTCTTCAGTGCCTGTGGAGGAACCTCTAAGAGTTTTCTGGAGGAACGCTGTGGATTAAAATGTAGATAAACATTTAAAAACACCTTTTTATGTATTGGCTGATGAAAATAAGAATTATACAGCAAGACAATGCTGTGCTGATGTGTAGAAACATGTTTTAAAAGGTTTTGTCAAGATGACTTCATCGTTAATGCATGCAGGAGGCAGTTATTCAAAATGGGAGTAAGGAAATGACTCACTCGTTTCTGGCGCTTTCTCAGTTTCACAGTCTTCATCACAGAGGAATCCCAGTCCTAGAGGCAAAGAGGACAGATAGAAAGATAGAACATGCTAGTTAAATAACTTAATCAACAATGTTGTCTTACTAACTGATCCTTAAAGTCAACAATCCAAGAAAGTGGGTGAATGTACCAGAGAGTCGTCTGTTTGATCGTAGCTGATGTCTGAGAGCAAAGAAGCTGATTCATCAATGGTAGTTAATCTGTAAAATAGATTTAAGTCAGAAATTATTCTTAAGAGATTTTATTGATGAACAAAAAAAAGTCCAGGAGCACAGTACACTTAATTTAAGTAAAAGTTCAAGAAAGGATGAGGCACTGAGGTTAGATGAACATCATTAATATTGTCTATGAGTACTGTCTGAGGATAATAATAATAATAATAATAATAATAATAATAATAATAATAATAATAATAATAATAATAATAATAAGGGATGCTCCGATCGCCAATTTCGGGGCCGATCGCCGGAATCAGTATCGGTCTATACCGATCGCCGATCCGATCGAGTGGGTGGGGGCTATGGGGACCTTCCATTTAAAGTGATGTTTAAAACTCAGCTAATGGGGCTCATTCACTGACGCTTCCACAAACAACAACCAACATAATTATTACATTCAAATATATTACATTATTCAAGTTTACATTAACTTAGGATAATAACACGGGAGAAATCTCTCTCTCTTCACACACGTTGCATACCGCTATTTTACTGTCATTTCGGACACCTTCAAATACTGCCAGACTGGTGAAGTCATTTTGACGAGCTTGTTTTGCCGCGCACAGAGAAAAGTGTCATGTATTTTACGTCATGTGATCGGCTCTCCCGATCGGCATTTATAGAGAGCACCGATCGATCGGCAGAGAGTGAATATCGGCCAATATCGATTGGAGGCCGATTGATCGGAGCATCCCTAATAATAATATTAATACATTTTATTTATAAAAAGGCACCTTTCAAGGTCACCGTACAAGGTACACAAAACAAAAAAGACAATATAATCAATCAATAAAAACAGAGGACGTGTGATGTGATCAGGGTGGATATGCCAGTGTGAAGAGATATGTTTTGAGACGTGATTTGAAAATGGAGAGAGTCGGTACAGTGCACTGTTAATGGTGCTCCTCTGGCTGTTTTAGAACCAGAGGAGGAGGGACTGACTTTCGACTGGAGTTGAGGTTGGCTTTAGCAGCCTGTGCTGCCTGGGAGTGGGAACTGAGGAAGGCCAGGGCGGAGCGCTGCTCCTCACTCAGGTGGACACTGTTACCGTTGTTTTCTGATATCAGCAGCTCTCGGATCAGCTGTAGCTGACGTTCCTGTTACACCCACAGACAAACAGGAAATTAAAAAGAAACCAATTAATGTAGAGAAAAAGGTTCATTATTCCAACAAACAACCATTAGTTAAAATATTCATGCAGTGACCAGCAAGGTGAGCTTTACATAGCTGGTCACCGATGGCATTATCTGTAGAAAAGATTAAAGATTTTCCCTTTTCTAATTTCCCATTTCTCCTATAAGCAATTACATAGTTATATGACTTATAAGTATTGTAGTTGCACAAACCAGCTTCTCGTAGATTGCCTCAGCTTTCTGCCGCCGGCGGATCTCCACATCCACTTGGTTGCGGGCATGCTTCAGTTTGACCTCCAGGGCTCCCCTTTCCGTCTCTGTTTTAGCCAGCACCTCCTTAGTGGAAACCAGCTCGTCACCTGACCGCTGCCACTTCTGCCGGCACTCCTCAAAGTTTGATGCCATCTGGAGGAACTCTGAATAACACAACAGAAAAGGACATTGTGGTATTGCGGTCATGCACAATATACTTTTTTCTTCTGTTGCTGTTATGTGTTCAAGCTCTCTAAAAAACAATTTGGTTTGCAGTGGAAAATATGCAAATGACCTCGAAGCAGAGCACGAAAAGACAAAAGACAAAAGACAGTGGGCTCTGCTGTAAAGTGACATTTATTTGTTGTTATTTAAAATGGAAATGAGTGGCATTATATGGACTATTGAAATGGAAATGATGACAACACCCAAATAGCCATTTCAACCCCCTTTTGTGTCAGGCACCATCAGTATCCACAGCTCTCTGTAGTAGAGGGTCTAGCCACTTTTATTTACTAAAGCAGAAGCTCTTCACACAGTACTGCAACTGCACCCAATACTAGCCTTCTAAAGTTTGCACCATGCTATAGCGGACCAGCCTTACTAGGCTCCATTGTGTTTCAATGACAGCATTCTTCAGAGGTGGAAAATACCAAAACAAAGTGTGGAAATAACTTACGTGGTTCAATGCCCTCATGCATGCTCTCCACCTGGGCTCTGAAGCTCTGGAACTGGTTGTTCAGGTTCACCACAGACTCCATCGTGTCTCTCTGCTGCTACTTACGGAGTAGAAAGAAACAGGTATATGATAACTCCAGTTAATGCTAACCTATTTATGTTGTTGCTGTGTCAACCATTTAACGTTACTCACATTTCAGTAGTTTAAGATTCAAAAATGAGAAGTGAAACACTCCTACATTAGCTCTAGCCCTGTGCTAAAGAAAAACAATTTTTTGTTGTTAGCTACTTATGTCGAAGCGTTCGCTGCCTATAACATAACCGGCACTGTATTCAAAACAACTATGCACTTCGCTAGATAAACGTTAACATTACTGCTGATGAACAATAAGTAAGCTATAGGGCTGCTAACATTAACATAACAAGTGTGTGTTGACTTAGCTAACTATCGTCACGTTGGTCAAAACACAAAAAAGACACTTACCTGTGCGATTGTGTTTCTATGATAGTGTGGCTGACATATAATGTAAAAACGTCCGATGTTAAAATCAGAGGTTAAATGGTTTATTCCCTCTCCAGCAGCAGAGCCACACCTGTCTGATAAAGTTTGAACATTCTTTCAAGAGTTCAAAAATCAGCGCCGGTTTTCTTCTTCGTGGCCTGAGTTGGAGGAGGTTGGTGAGCTTTATCGCCCACAACGGTTTTAGAGGTGGTACTGCAGGGCGTAATGGCCATAAATGCAGCAGCGTCCTCTGGTTCCCAAACTCAAAGGATCCCCTGTGGGACTGAGGAATGTAGGAGAGGGGTATAGGTAGCATTATTCACTAGATGTTAGCCTTATAAAATGGTGGGTTTTATGCATGGGGGACGATGGGGACATGTCCCCACCACTTTTTGAAATGGCCAATTTTGTAAAAAAAAAATCGTGCACAAAGAAATGTCCCTTGGAGTAGGGGGTGTCCCCTTTAGGCTGGCCAGGACAAAAAATCTCTCAAAACATGAAAACTCACGTATACATTTTTTTTAAACATAAAAAGTTCTGTGCCTTTGTTTATGTTTCTTTCATAAAGCATCACATCTTTGTACCCATTTAAAAATATAAAATAAAATATATTTTTCAACTTTCATATAGAAATGTTCTTTTAAAAGTCATGTATTTAATTCTTATGTTTTTTCTAAAAAAAATGTTATCAAGTTAGTCTTGTATTTATTTATTCCTGTATTTATTTATTATTTCTGTTTTTTTTCACATTTATTTATTCTTGTTTTGTTTTTTCCTGTATTTATGCATTTTTACTCATGTCATGTTCTGTCCTCCATACATGCATGCTCGTTGTGTGCATAATGGTACAAATTCAATCCAAATCGCATCATAACAAGACCTTTAATTGGGCATTGTTTCAAAGACACATTATTGGTCTAGACTCGGTTTATGCATTGGTTTTTCATGCAGGTGCTTGAGGTTCAACACCCTGGAGTGGGACATATTATTTTGTCTTCTATATGCTGATGTTAAATCTGGAGAAATCGTCCCCACCACTTTTTCTAACTGAGTGACGCCCATGGTTTTATGTTATTTTCATAATGCATTAGTTATATGCAATGGTGTAAAGTAACCAAGTAGACCTACTCAAGTATTGCATTTAGGTACAATTTTGAGGGACTTGTAGCCTACTCAACTTAATACTTCAATGATCTTACTTCTACCCCATTTCAATTAAGAGGTAAATCGTGTACTTTTACTACATGTATTTAATACTTTAGTTACTTTGCCGAATTGGATAAATTATGTCAAATATAATCAACAATTTAATAAGACTTAAGTTACACCCAGAGTCAAATTTAACATCTACCCTGCAGTGTACAAAGTAATTTAAGTTGGCTGCACCTTTACCAGCTTTGATTAATTAATAATTACATTCAAAAATATATGATAATATTATATTCTGAAATGGGCCAATATGCACAAGTACTTCTTCTTTTCGTACGTTTGGTAAGTAGGCTACATTTTGATGCTAATAATGTTGTACTTTTACTTGAGAAACATTTTGATTGCAGGACATGTACATTACACCCTGGGAGTTCTACTTTTACTCAAGTACAAGATCTGATTACTTCTTCCACCTCTGGTTAAAGGACATTATATAGGCCTATATTATTATGACAGACGACCTCAGGAGTCTTACCTTGCATTCACCCAAAGTTGTCTGTACAAACATAAACGAATATACAACATTTTGGTCAATTAGTAGTGTGAGCGTATTTAATATGTATAATTTATTAAACATTGATTTTGTCATTTGTTTTTCCAATTGTAATATCTCTTTTAACTGTCCAATTCATTATTTATTATTGAATGGATGGCAGCTTCAAGACTTCTAACATCCTCTTAGAGCAGGGAATAATGGGGTTCATACATTATGTAAAATGTTGCCTATAATGACCCAATCAATATTTCGAATCTACCATACAGAAAAACAACAATACTTTTAAATATCTGGATCAAACTCTGTATCAAATATGCTCTGGAGTTTGATAAGTCCTTTCTTTCAAATATCAGCTTCCAACTGTGCCTGGTAGCCCCATTGGTAATGTAAATAACCATAAATGACTGACCATAAATAGCCTTTTCTTTTGCACAAAAAATAAGCAAGTCAATTTTGCTAAAGGTTTGTGAGTCCAGTATCTGCTCTGTCCTGCTTCCAGTGCTTTGTATCACAAATATTCAATTCTGTATAGTGAAATTATGTGTGAAATCGTAAAATCCTTTGAAACAGCCAGTGTATTCTGGTTTGTGAGCTTGGCACACGGGATGTGCACAACATAATCATTAATCAGCCATGCATGGCATATCTGGGTGCAGCAGAAGCTCTACTGTGCAACATTAAATCAGGGTAACACACACAAACACACTAAATCAATTGCAAACCATTTACATGTATGTCCCCATAACACATCAGACTTTATAAACAACTCAACACTTTAACTGATTTGTGCATACTTGTGTGTTTTTATGATGCATTGGCAGCCTGATTTAGCTTCACACTTGTCCCCAGCACATTGTGTGTTCTGAATGCTGCAGGTCCATTAGAGGTAGTTTGAGATAATAAGACCTGTCAGTCAATATGCGCTCTCCGTCTTACTCCATTATTCATCTCTATGTGTACATTTCCTCTAGTCACAGATCATTTAACTGCAAGGATTCTCCTTTTACATCAATCATCGTCTGTCCATTCTTAAACTGAGTTGACTTTTAAAGCTATTTGCATTCATCTGTATTTCAGCATCAACCATATACCAACCAGGATCTAAAAAAGGGAAGTAATTTGTCTTTGTATTTTCCCCCCAAAGTAAATTCCTCGTATGTGTAAACGTACTTGGTAATAAAACCGATTCTGATTTTGAATTCATATTGCAAGTCAGAACAGTTGCTTTCATTGTCACATGTTTTACTTAATGTTTTTAAAGAATGTGTGTTTAGAACACAGAGCAAACATTCTATTTATCAGATCATACAACATATTGTAAAAGGCATGTCACCACTTTATTGAGTTTATTCAGACAGCATATAACTTGCACTGCAATACCTGTACATATATTCTTTCATTTACAAGCTGCTCTTAAGACAGAGTGTTTACCTGAATGATGAGTTCATAGCTGTCCTTCTAAAAGGTGTGTGGATAATAAAACAACAAAATCAAATTTTACAAGGAGTGAAAAAAGTGTCAGGAGGCTCTAATGCACCAAAGTTTCAGAGGAAGCACCTGCGGATTGTGCTGACTCCAGGGTTAGGCCTCCTCAGTGGCACCATTGGAAGGGTAATGGATCCACAAACAGCCTCATGGGGGACACTTGGCAGATATACATCTATCTACTTAGGAGGATGCGTTGAAGCAGAACACACCCTCTTTACATCCTGTGTATGTGCGCACGAAGCAACATTAACTTTAAGCGTCTGTATACAGAAAAACAAACATTTGGATTTATGGCATTTCCCCCAACAATATGCATAGTTTCTGTCCACTTTGGTGCATGAATGGAAAAATAGCTTATCTATTGTTAAACAGAAACATAATCATCCATATCTGACAATGTAGAGGGAGTAGACACAAAACAATATAAACACCTAGAAAACGAAATGCAAATACATTAGCCCTGCAGTTAAAAAGTATTAAGACAGGGTCAGGGTTTGAATTTCACTATTTTGTTATTGACAAGGGTAGTAATATATAACACATATTGTAAAGTCAGTCTCTTAAATTGACCGCATTGTAATGCACATTGTATTAAAGGCTTATCTTCAAATTCAATCAATGCCATAAAACCTTACAAGCCTCACAAAGGTAGTTGTTATCGAGGACATATTGAATTTCATTAAATGTTTCCAGTGTGCATGTTTTGTTGTCAGCCCCCGACAGACTTCACAGTCTGGCACCAAAAGTCAATTTATATGTAATGTCTCTGAGTTAACAGGATGTTTTTACAAAATGGATTGTCACACCACTGGCAGGACTCAACATCTGTGAAAGGACACCGGATAAATCTGATGGTCCTAAGTGAGTCTGCAGGTATGTGGGGAGGCTTTGGCCAAGTGAGCATAGTGATAAGGTAATGTGCATAGATGCACTCCAAGCAACCCATCAATTGGATTACAAGTGTAATATCCCACTCAGAGTGTTTACTGGAAGAGGCTCCCTCTTTCCTTTTCTGCTTCAACAACAACAATACTTTTGTCTTCCATGTTTTGAAACCTGACACTTGGTAAACACTCCAGCCCGAACACATTCAAGAGTGGATAAAATAGCTTATATGCTATAGTTTGAAAAATGGCAGCGAACTCTATAAAAATAATATTTCTATTGATTTAAGCTTTTTAAAGCAGTATATTGTGTTGCTTCGTGAAAAGAAGCATCTAAACTGAAAAAAGTAAAACAGTTGTTTCAACAGAATCTGTTACTATTTATGAACTTTAGATGTAAAACTCATGTACTAATTACATTTTTATCTTAAACTGAATTAAAAGAAACCTGAAAGTGGTGGTATTGTGATTTTTCAGAAAAGGGGTGGAAAAGGGTTGGAGAAAAAAGGAGAACAAAGATTGCATTGGCACAGTATCACTAGTCTTACCATTCCATCTCAGAGATATCATGACATTATTTTAAACATTCATCCTTAATTACTTTTTATTTGGAGCTACCTGAAACTATTGATAAAGAACAATTGTGGAATAAATGTCAGTATATGAGAGAAAAAACATGGCATGGGCGATTACTTACAATTAGTTGTAACTGCACGAGGGAGTGTGATTTCTAAATAAGCTTCACTTCAAATCCTCCAGTGGAAGTCATAAATAATGTTCCAGCATGCAGCGAGGTGTAAAAGGTGACTGAATGTTAACTGATCTCTGATCCAGATCTATGGTCCAAGTGTCACAGTCTCCCCTTTCTCTCTCTCAATGAAAAGGGCGTTCACTTTTCTTGGGTACAGCACATAGCTGCTGAAAATAAATAACTAAAATGACAACGGAATTAGATTTCTGACAAAATCTTCAAGACCTCATGGTGCAAATGGGAACGACGATGATGAGAATGATAGTCACTGCAGTGAGAATGAGTGCAAGCAGCTTGCAGACCTTTACCCG